CCAAAATCGAATACGAAAACTAGGAGGCTTTCGAATCGAAGGAAAAATTATTTTGGATGCGAGCTCAGATGTTATTGTGTGTGAGTGTGATGTGTGAAAAATGTGAAATGGAAATGAAGAAACAAAACGATTCAAGAGAGATTATAATGATGGTTGGCGTTGCTCACGAAATGACGTCTGATTTCAACCAAATGGTTGAAAATCGCATCAAAAATACGTGTGTCAAAAACACACAGTGGAATGAAGATACAGAGGAAGAGAGAGATGGAGAGAGAAAAAAAAGGGATTTTATATATAGAAATAATAGGAAAAATTTTGGTTCTCACTTCGTACTCTTCGTACTGACACAATCTGACACATTCAGTCAGATGTGTCGATTTAGAAATTTATACGAGTTTGAAACCAATTCTCGCTTAAGGCTAAGCTTGGCAACGACACACAAAAACAGTCAAATACATCCACACACACACACACACACACACATGCATAGCATTGAAAGTCATTGCATGGTGCTTTGCATACGGAGTGATTTCTATTTTTGATGCACCACTACAAGTACAGTCTTACTCTCTCCTCGAAATTCTGGCCCGCTGATCATTCGGATGAGAAGAATGAAATTCAAATGATGAACAAATTACCAAATACCCATATCGCGGCACTCAATCATTAAGCACGACACAACAACAAAGTCGCTTGTGTGTATATATATATTAGGAAAATTGAAATATTTCATATGTTTGGCATTGGTAGTTGTGTTTTTGCCGCAGTCGTTGCTTTTTCAGCTTGCATATGATTATCGTGGCCCTATGATCTGATCGCACACACCAAATGCACAACATACAAATGGTCTTCGGCAATCTTATTTAAAAATAGGAGAATCAAATGAATCTGACAACGAACCAAAGCCATTGTATGCATATCCGTAGCAACATTGTACAGAAGATGACGAAGAAAAAAAAACACACAAAGAAGAAACAGTTCGTTTCGCGTCCATAAATATTGGGTTGCCGTTCGAGAGAGATAAGATTTGTTGGTTTGATAAAAAGTTGCTACTTGACGTAGGCAAGAATTGTTGAAAGCGTAGCAAGAAAATGCACCAGCAAAGCAAATATGTCATTCCATGCCGTGCCGTGCCATGCCATGGTGAACCATCAACACAATCAAACACCAACCAAAAAAGAAACGCTTCAAGTTTTACGGCCGGGAAAAGGGAACGGAAAGTGAATGCGTGTTCATGGCAAGAAAAAATTATTGAAAACCATTTATCATTTTATTTAGACAATTTATTACATGCGCATCACTCAAGTTGTGGTTTTAATTTTTGTTCTTCGATTCTCACATGATGTTTCGTTCAACGTTTTATCGTGGTTTATACTTTTCGCACGGCATCTGTTGGACACAATTCGTTGATAATTTCATGTGATGATGAATTTTAAATGAATCCACATACACAAAAAAAACACACACACATTCCACACGGGCGTGCAAATGATGACGTTATTCACCCGAAAGCTGACATAATTCCTTAAAGTTCAATGCTAATTTGAGGAGAGATTAAACATCCAAATGAACAGTCAGACAAACGCAAACAAATGCAACCATCGGAATCGGATTAGAGGAGAGAAAACCAGCAGCGACAAACAATAATGCATACATGCGAGAGAAATTCAATTGTCTCATTTGGTTAGCCGTTTACGCCTGCTGCTACATCGATTCTTGGTTTCATTGCTCTATCACACACACACACACACGCACGCACGCATGCAGTGCATATACGGCTCTGGTTCTAATCTAAATTGTGTCATGCTGTTGGCATATTGTTTAGCAATTAAATTATGTATTGTGTCTGAAGATCTATCTAGATGAATGCAAACCACGTTTGTTATAGTTACGTGCTTATCCCTGTATGCGTTGTGAGCGAGTCATAGGGAGAGCCAAAAAGTGACGGTGAGGCCAAAAATAGACGATGACAAGAGGGAATGAGTGAGAGAGAGAGAGAGAGATCGAGTGAGCAAGAGTGTGAGTAAATTAAATCGAATTTTAAAATCAAGAATCCATTAACGTTTCACTCCAGTATTGATGGACTACCGCCGACAAAGCGAAGCACCAGGCACACACAAAACACTAATCGCAGCAGTCAACAATATAGAAAAATGCATAATAATAACAATCGGACCATCGTACTTTCCACACAGACACGAATAACGAGGAGAACGGAGCGCATCGTTTATGCTGTTGCCATGCTTTGCCATTGCACGAACCGACTGTTCGGCACATTTGATTCACGTGTTTTAGTTAATGTAAGGATTGAAGCGAACGAGTTAGCGACATAAACATAAAAAAGGGGTGAATCAAAGTTAATAGTAATTGCACTTAAGCTGTGAATGGCATTTAGTATGCTCAATCATGAAAGAACAACAACACACTGAAAAACGGCATATAGTCTCTTAACGCACATAGTGGAAAGTATGTTAGCCTGCATAAACGCCATCCAATCGAATGTGAATGTGCGAAACGATGAAAGAGAGGAACAGAGTCAGCGATGACGGCAACGACGACTTTGTTTTTAGTGCATGGGTGCCGTTTGTTTTTGTGTCTCGTGTTGTTCCAAGAATAAAAACATGATTTTTGACTATATTCAGCCGGTTCCAGTCAAATAGATTACGTGCCATTGAGCTCATATTATTTATTCATTCGGATGCAAGGAGAGGAAGATACACGCGAGATGATGCAAGCAACCAGTGCCAACGATAACAAATGAAGTGTATACGTTTTGACTGCTCGCCGGGAAAATTGAAATTTCCCGAAAGTCATTTTTTTTTTAAATTTTAAATGCAAATCCTCTGTGATTCGGCAAAGGGTCCCCTCAAAATCGATTTTCACCGCATTTTGCTCGCATTCCGCATATTGTAGGCATTTTTAAAGGGGAAATAATTCAATTAAATGCTTAAACTTTGAGACTTTTTGAAATATTCAGATTGCGGCGATCAGAGCGAGCGAGCAAGAGAGAGAGAGAGAGAGAGAGAGAGAGAGAGAGAGAGAGCGAAAAAATAACGGTATAATTTTTACCTCATTATCAAAGATAAATGTTTTAAATGGCATTTCAACGTCACTGACACAGCTATAATTATTTATCCATTTGCATACAACAACACAACAAATCAAAGTGGAAATTGAAGAAAGCTGAGGCCATAGAACCGTGTCCACTTCACATATAATGCGAGCGAGGTGTTACTGTTGTTCTTATGGCACATTACAATTGTATTGCATTCGCATGACATGCACATTTGGCCAACTCTCTCGACGACACCATGCGTTTATCATCGTGGTTTGTTCCATGCGTTTATCATCACGTACGGTGACGAGCATACATGAGCCGAGCTTGATATTTGTTACCTGTTGAAAAGATGGTTGTTGTTGTTGTTTTTTCGGAAGAAGTAATGGAAAATATGAACACTATTCCAAGGTAAATAGGACACAAGCCGATATGGTAGCGGATAAAGTACAAATATTGCTGCGACTGTAAAGCAACTGTGAGTTTTGACTCGGCGAATATACCCCGAAAGAAATGAAAATCCAGAGCGTTGAGTAAACAGCCGAGATATAGAACTTTGTTTACACTATGTTTTTCACACACACGGATTTCAGCATGAGGTAAAATTACATTAATTCACCATTACGGATGGATTCAGTGTGTTCTTATTTATTTTTTTTTGGGATTGTGTGAGTGCGTGCTCGACAAACCGGGCCACTAATTTCTGATAACGCATATTTTCTTTATCACTGCTGATGTATAAAATAGACAATTGTTCGAATGGCCCCGAACAAACAACAATTTTTTGGAAACCGAAATATAAACGCCAACGTGGAATCAACAAGCGAATATAACAACAACGAATTGTATATCTCTTTCGATTTTGAAATTAGATAATACCGAGTAGACGATCTCAACATTTGACTTTAATAAAGTTAGATTTCGTGTATTTGACGTTTGATAATATTGTTAAACAGATAACGCTGGAACGACGCATTTTGTGGCTCTTTATTTCGTGAACGAGTGATTTCGACGAACGAAATTCGTTTGAACGAACAAAGCACATTTCTCGATTATTCAGTGCTTCCTTTAATTACCACATATGCCATATGCGAGAGAGAGATAGAGAAAAAAATGAGAGAAATGAATTGTTTGACTGCTACTGAAACACAATCAGGTTCTGTGTGTACACAAAGAACGAAGAAAAAAAATAGCGCCCGATACTGCCGCGATTTTTATGATTACTTTGTAAATAGAGGCGTTATGCGTTTAGAAACAGAAGTTTATGAATAGATGCAAATAAGTTGTGTAAGACTCCAACCGAAAATCACAATATTTCAACAGCAGTGAAGCAGCTGTGTGAGCGTCAAACGAAAAATGCATTTGAATTTGAGCTCCACCATGTGTCAGCCAACGCAATAAAATGCGATTGTGAGATTGCAATGGCATCGCCATTTTCGAGGTGTGTCTACATTGAACACATATTTGTATTATTACATTTTGTCGTTGTCACACGATGCCAAATGAATCATTTAGCGAAATCACGCATATAATTTCCTGATTGTTTGCTAGCTAGGCGACACGGATGATCGTATTGTATAAATATTTTTATGTCTCTCTGTAGAAATATTGATTTCAAGGTGTTGAATAGACATTAAATTATAATGAGTGAATTGAGCGAATAGCAGATAATCGATTTGGCAGAAAAAACAACAAAAAAACAACATTTGTATCGGTTCGAGAGGAAAAAAGATTCGTTCGTTTTTATCAATTTACTTTTATTGCGACTCGTGCAATTTTGAAATGTTTTTTGTTGTTGTTGTTATTCCATTTTCTCGATTGCATAGAATACTGAGAGAATACTTGATTTTATAGGAATTATCACAAATTCGCTTAACTCCAAAGCCGATTAATGAACACCTTCAGATCCAAGTCTAAATGAAATGGAACAATCAGTTGAACCTACCTGTTTACTAAATGCTGCTATGTCTTCGTTGAAGGATTCTGATGAACAAACATCAGCGCCTTGAGCACCAGGATCTCTGGGTGTACATGTTGCTAGTTCACATTTTTCAAATACTAACGCCAGCAGAGGAAACAGTGGATGTCTGGAATAGAAACAAAATTGAACTAATCAATAAAAGAATAATAAGAATATCAATATATGTATAGATATAGAAAAACTATTGAAAAACACCAAATTGTGATTGCCAATTAAGCAGATCTGTCAATTACTGATTGATCATCGTGTACAGATTTGGGCAGACAATGTTGGTCGCCAAATTTGCGCTTAATTTCAACGGAAGCATGACATATTACACAATTTATGGTATGCACACAGTGTGTGCACACTCTGTGTTGGAACCTTTCGCCATTCTGGACTGTGTGTTTCACATATTTACATTTTTGGCCCTGTTGCTTCTTTTTCTCGTGGTTTATTTCAATTTTTATTCCGTTGGCTTTTCTAGTATATCGCATATTTATTTTTATGACGATCCCTATCGCACATTATTAAAACGTATTAAAGAGAAGAATCTTTATGGCATGGAATATGAACATCATAAAAACAGATAATATTTTCGAGGCTTCCGATATTAAATGTGGCCGTATTTTGTTTGGTGTGCTTCTTAACGATGCATAGAATGTTCAGTTGAAATACGCTCTCTTGTCCCGTATCGGTTTTTTCTGCTGTGTCGTAGTGACAAGCGCTCGCAAATAGCTCTGTAGCTACCTTCCGATGTCTTGGTGTTTTCTACGATCTGATCATATCTACAATTCGTCTGCGTTTCTCGCTCTCTGTCTTGCTCACATTGACAAATTTTTTGTTTCGCCTCTTCGCCTTGTATCGCCGCATATCGCGGTGTAATATCATTTTTAATTTATGCGTTTACGTATGAAATACATCTTTTTTTTTCTCCCATTTATTCAACCATTTTGCTATCGCGTTATCATTTAAACATTGTATGACTTGGAATCTTCCAATTTATCAGATTTCTCTGTTGAGTAGTGGCGGCAATACCAGCGACCGCATGAATCTATATTTGTTGTTTGATTATTCACCTAAATGCAACAGTACTCATGGAAACTATACATGAAAAAAAAAGAATTATAGCAAACAGAGCGAACAAGTTGTGGTGTGATTAATATATGAAAGATGGTTATGTTTTGGGCTCACTCACAGTATGCGGTATAGTAAAAATGTTTGTAAATGATTTTACTTTCGACAATACTTATAGCGGCATCGAGAAGCCGATCCATGAATTTTAATCAGCAACCAGAGTAAAAACAAGTGAGTGCAGCTACGACGAAGACGACGATTACAATGATGACGACGGCGGCAACGACGACGACGACATCAGCAAGCAATACGACAAAAAGATATGTTCTACATGCCTACTTCACTTAACAAGCTTATTTCGTTTGGTCTCGTAGTCCAAGAAGAGTTTAGTAGCTGACGAGTCACAGTTGGTGCATTCCGTATACAATTTAAGTGACTCAAGATATTTGAATATGCGCATTTACCGGGCTACAGCATAAAAGCAAATCAGTTTGTATTCCATTCCTGAGAGCGCGATTGCTCATATATGAAGTATAATCGAGATAATACAGTTTTTTTTGCTTCGCGTGCTGTGTTGGTTTTTTTTTATTTCGCTGTGTGTAAAAGCGTCGTCTTGCTCTGGTGTACTTGTTTATCGCTACAAGTGACTCAAAACGTAAGGAATGATAAAAGAAAAAAGATCGTTTTAAGTCTGCGTTTAAACAAACATTGTTCACCTTTTATGTGTTTCAATTGACAAATAATGTGCTTCTGTGTATGCTTTGCGCGCTCAAATGAATTAGACTTTTTTCCTTTCTCAAGTGCTGGTTTCGTTGTTTCTTCCATTTTTTTTTTCCTTACTCTTCTTCCATTTCATTCTCAGGGCTCATGAATATATTTGAACGATTTTGAGCTAGAGCGTAGATATGATGAAAATTTCGTGACCAGCTACTTTGATTCTCACCGATTGAAAATAACATTGGGATGCATCCGAATAATGGTGACTACTCATCATCATCATCAATGATAAGAATATTAGCCTCGAACAAACTGCTCTATAATATAAAACATCAGGAATGTTCAATGAAGCGGAAAAGTCAAGCGCGTTGAACAAAGGCAAATTAAAATGATACGCGTACATAGGTTAATTTATTTCACTCATATCTCATGAACTAATATACCGGTTCTAATCGGCTCTCCAAAAACAAAAGCTAAGACGATGTCGACGACGACGACGACGATTGTTATGAGCCAATGGTCAACTTAAACGTTCACATGAGGCTAGCTCTTGTGAGAACTACGAATGGAAACAATGTGGAATCCATTGTGATGGAAAGCGAAATATGGATAAAGAAACCCGGGTAATCGAAAGAATTTTAATTGCATTAGGAGCGCGTTCATTACTTTTGCGTTCAAACGTAAAAATGTGATTATTAAATTGTTGAATGAGAAAGAGCGAATAGAAAATTTAGAGAGGAAGAAAAACAAGCCCGCTTGTTGGGGGGGGGGGGGGTAGACAAGCAAAAAAAGTGAAATCCATAGCAATCTCTTAGCACTAGAAACAGATCGATTTGATCACTTCGTTATGGCTTTTTTCTCGCAATGGGCACTCAGACACTGTTATATGCTCATTTTTTGTTGTTGTTCTTGTGTTGCTATGTATTCGACACAAGGTTAACATACGTGTAATTTGTTTGTGGTAGACAAATAAATGCTAACGATGACTTGAGTGTAAGGAACTCTTCTTCTTTTTTGCTGGTTATGATGCTTTTGATTGGAGAGAAGAAAAAATTGAAATCACAATGGCTGTGAGAGTAGAGATTTGAGATGAGCTGAGCAGAGAAGAGTAGAGTAGAGAAAATTCGAAAAATAACAGCAACAACAACAAAAAGTATATCGGCTCCATCATTAAGATGAGCCTCTGATCGCTGGGGCGGTCTATAATGCATTTACGCATATTATTATTCGTATTAATGAAGTTTTGAGTATCAAATGAATTGTTAAGATATAGGTTAACCTATTAACACACAGACAACGATTATGATCCATGAAATTCGAGAGAAAATGATAATATCAGCAGTGGCAATGCACCGATGAGATGTAAATGACGAATGCAGAACACCAAATGACTGTGTCCGCTGTAAAATTAACATTATTAAATGAAATTCGGATCAAAAGCTTTAAAACGAAACTCCAACACACAGACGAATGGCCGGTGGACACACCAAATGTTCGGCGGTCTGTTCATTGTTGCCGAACGGGTTTCAAGTGCGCTCACAGCGTTATATTTTTTAGTCACTTATCGCACGACACAATTATTGTTTCTTTTAACTTCAGCCAAATAATGAAGGAAATAATCAAGACAGGTGTGATTTTATTGAAGTGCACATTCGTTTATATTTTTATGTATCACACACAAGAAAAAAGACGAGGTCACTATAAACACATTCAAACTAACATCACATGAAACGCCGAAAAATGAAATGATACAACAAGTAAAATACATATGAGAGAGTCTCACATTTTCATACGATTTCCAACCCAATTCAGTCTCTTATTTAAATGAAATATATTTAAATATAGCAAAAGTAAGCATATAGTCGGAAAACTATACGACTCGAAGTGAATTGTGCACAGCAAATGTTACACAGGAGGCAACAAAGTATCCGACATTCGCCGTTGGTTATAAAAATACTTGAATATTGTTTATTTGCATCCAAAATCGCTTGGTAGATTTGTTAAAATGCATCGCGATGAACAAGCGAACGAAACAAAACGTAACGACCGAAAATATGAATAAAAAAATAACTATAAAAAAATGTCATTATACATTTTAGGTTGAAATGCCGTAGAATTAATCTTGACGTAAGATCATGTTCGACTGTATGTGGATTCAGTTTTGATAACCAAAATATGCAACCTTAGACATTTCATAAAAATTAAGTGACCAGAACCGTCTTGAATCATGTTTTAAATAGAAATACTATACACAGAGATATATCGTGCTCATTTGAATACGATTGTGCACACATGCGGTCGTTGTATCGCAACAAGCGTCTATGATGTGTGCTAAGGTGTTTCTTGTATACGCCCGCTAAATAGGTAAATTATATCAAAATCGACTAATGCCTGTTAAATAGACTTGCTCTGCACGTGAAGCCAGTATTTCATTTAATATTTCGCCAAAGAACAAGCATGTTAAAGCTAAAGAATAAAATCATCTCTTCATATGTCTAAGTTGTATTCGTTTACATTTTCATTAAACGAAATGGAATTAAAATGGGAACACGCACACAATGAAGTGATCTTCTGTTCATGATGTTTCGGTTTACACATATATATATATGTATGTGTGTGTGTGTGCCTTCTTAGTTCATTTCATTCGCTTGGAACATTCATTACATTTTTTTTCCCTACAATTCTTTTCGAAAAATTATAATTAAATGCAGTTTATTGTAATTATCGTAGACATTGTAGTCTTTTCACCTCATTCTTTAGATCACTTTGGAATTTTTTTTCCATGTAATCGAATTGTTTATAATTATCATTTCGTGTAATCGTAATACACGATAATAGTTAAAATAATTTTCACAAAATAACACGGTTTCGTTTGTGCGTTTAAATCGATAAATGATTGAAATGGTAAATTACGAATAGCAACGAAACGAAGGTGAAAAGAGAGAGAGAGAGAGAGAGAGAGAGGCATAGAAAGATACGAAGAGAGAGAAAACCCCGAAGAAATTACGAAAAATGCTTGTGCCCACTAAATCGTTTTAAGGAATAAAACACCCGTGAAAATATGTACTTAATGTGTTAAACGTCTAAATATGGCTATTAATTTTTCTATCAAAAATTCTGATCAGTTCTTTAGCAATGAATAACGATCGAAAATGGACAGTGCGCTCATTGATACAAGCATTAATCGAGATGGTGATCGGTGGTCAGTATTTCAATAAAGTACACGCTAAAAATTAGCGTAAAAATTAAAAGCTAATTGAAATTCTGAGCGCTCGATCGATTCGATTTGATTTTAAGTGACACAATGAAATCGATGGAGGCAACAAGAAGAAG